CACGGTCCCCTCCCGTCAAGTTGATCCAAATGTATTTTGTTTTTTAATTTTTTTTTTTAATGTTTATTTATTTTAGAGACAGAGAGACAGAGCACAAGCAGGGTCAGGGCAGAGCGAGAGGGAGACAGAATCTGAAACAGGCTCCAGGCTCTGAGCTGTCAGCGCAGAGCCCGACGCGGGGCTTGAACTCACAAACCGTGAGATCATGCCCTGAGCGGAAGCCAGAGGCTCAACCGACTGAGCCACCCAGGCGCCCCGATCCAAATGTGTTTGGAAACGTAAAAAGAGGTGACTCCATCACGTATTAAGAGGTGTGTGGTTTCAAAATCTGGGCAAACGTGGGCAAAATCTGGTTTTAGCTTTTCCCTTCGATTTCTAGATGTCCCTTTCCCACGCCCATCCCATTTGGGGAACCGAGCTTATCAGGGTCTCCGTCACAGCAGCTTTCTGCCTGGGAGCCTGAGGAAAAAGCAGCCAACACAGGCAAGGGTTGGAAAGGCTGTGGTGCTCGCTGCGGGATGACTGCGTCCTACTTCACAGGCTTTGAAATTCGTGTGCTTTAATTTAGGTAAACTCTGTACTCCCTCCTGGTGCACACAGTTTTCAACTGAATCTCCGCCAGCATAATTGCAGAAGTGTACGGGGACGAGCGCACAATGGGACAGCTGGAGGCGAGTATTTATTACTTTAGGCAAACATTTTTGGTAGACTTAGGGACAGTGGACCATCTACACTGGCAAATGCTTTAAATTGGGGGCATCTTAACTCGGCCATTTCTGCTACGACCAGATGCTTGTCTGGCCAGTGTTTCCCAAATGGAAACATCTGTTTCATCTGCAGCAGTGAAAGAAACATTTGTTTTTGGGCACTTGGGGCAGCCTCAGTGTCTTTGGCGGGGATTCCGAGCTGTCCTTATGGTGCGCTTCTCTCGACAGAGAACCTGCACCGTATGTACCAGACTGCCTAGGAAACAAAGTTGGCAAGTCCATTTGTATAGTAAGACTTAAGTATTTTCAGACATGTTGGAAAGTCGTACACAATTAGGACATGCCTGTTCAAATGCACTAGGAAACTTCACGGTGTCTTCTCTCCATGACACTTTATTGGTGTAGACATATTTGTACTTAGAAATGTTAAAATGGTGGCCAGACCTTGGAAACTCGATGCATTTTGCTTCTTAAAATGTAAAGGTGACATCTTGAAGAAGAAATTGTTTCATTTTTATTTAAAATGTTTTTTTAAAGTTTATTTTGAGAGACCGAGAGAGCACTAGTGGGGGAGAGGCAGAGAAAGAGGGAAAGAGCCCCACGAGGGGCTTGATCTTAGGAACCATGGGCTCGTGACCTGAGCTGAAATCAAGAGTCGGATGATTAAGCGACTGAGCCGCTCAGGCACCCCGAAGAAGGAACTGTTTTATGTTAAGTATGAAACATGTACCAGAAAACAGAGGTATTGGGTTTGAATATACTTGTGTGTGTGTGTGTGTGTGTGTGTGTGTGTGTTTTCTAGCCAGGATTGCCTTTTCTCTTTGTATTCACTGAAATCATAGGGAATTGCTCGGGGGGGGGGGGGGGAATTAATCTTTCTAAGAAACTCTGCACTCTCTTCTCCTTATCATTATGGGGTAACCCAATTTCTTGATCTTTAATTATTCTTGCTTTAAGCTAGAAACTCTAGTGTTTTCTTGTACATTCCTTTCTGATCTCTGAATGGTGGGAATTAAAAGTGCCCATTTCTGAAATGGCAGCTTTGACTTTGCAGTTTTGCATTCTTTTTCTTTTCTTTTAGCTCTCGGAACAATTATAGGCCTCCTGAAATGTTATTTTCAGGAAAATTCTATAAACACCTAGTTGCAGATGGAGCTTTACCAGAGGACATTTTATTTTTATTTTCAATCTTTCCCCATGACACACTGTTCATATTTGAAAAAAGTTGAACTTTGTGGCGTTGTTTGTGGGCCTGCTAATTTGTAATATGAATCCCCTGCCCTCCTGTTTATTGTATCTTTGCCTTAAGGTCCCAAGCGCTATAAATGTGCTTTCAGGGGGGTTCTCTGTAGAAACCTTGCACTCAAAAATGATCTCCCTCATTTTATTACCTTCGGATAATGTCTTTTTATGTTTTTATTAGCATCACTAAGAACAGATTTAAGCCTGTTTAACAGGCCCCTAGTTTGCTGAACAGAAATGTGGAGGGAAGTGATGTTTTTCTTCCCTAAAAGAGTCAAAAAAAAATCAAAAAGTGTCTTTGGTGCAGTTTTCACAAGGGTAGTCTGATTAAAGGGGGAAGTAAGCACAGATAAGCCATCTATCACCTTTTCATAGTTTTGCTTTTTGTTTCTTACCGGCACATCCTCCCACTGCTGACTCTTCACAAGTTCGTAAGAAGGCTCCGTTAAATCAAATTTGGGAACGGGGAATCCAGGAATAGCATTGTGCAAGTGGAAGCCAAATGTCACCAGCCAGCTGTTAACATCTAGGGGAAGAACGTTCGAAAGGAAAGGTGTTAGAGTTATTTTGTGCTTTCAGAAATTTCATTCCTTACCCGAAACTAAAAAAACAAAAACAAAACACCCAAGTTCACAAACAAGATGTTTGCCTTCGTTCTACAATGCAACACCCACTCTCTGTTTTCAGACACGAAGACAATAGCCTCAGTGATGAAACGATGCCAAGGGCTACAGAAAACCCAGTCTAATAGGTACTCAGTGAGACTAGATAAACTGTCACGAGTGCGAAGTTGCATCCTGTGCGAGGAATAAGTGGTAACGGAGGGTAACAACAACGCACAGCAGCACGAAGGAGACCCAGTGGAGGAAAACAAAGGGATTCTGTAGTTAGCCAAGACTGGTCTTAAATAGAAGTTGTATGTTACTGGCTTTCAAAAGCGACTGCCCAAAGGATATGCGGCTTCCACAACCCATTTTCTATTAATAAAAACCCCTAACTTGAGAGAATTAAAATCAACAGTTGATTCTTAATCAAAGATGAATGCTGAAGGCCGGCAGGACTGGCCAGGGGCACAGAAGTTCTGATCGCCATCAGCTATGACTTCAAAGGCTCACTGTGCACAGGTGGAGGCGAACTTTTTGGGGAGAGAACCTGGAAACCTTTAAAATGGTATTTTAAAATACTGCCATGTGACTCCAAAAGCCATTAAGCTCAGAATCAGGCTTTTATTCTATTCTGGAGGTTATAATGTTACAGAACTACTCAGCAGGCTTGCAGCTTTATGAGTACAGTTGGGTGTAGATTATTTTGTATATTAAGCACATTGCTGGAAAATTTGAAATTGCATTTCACCTAATATATTTTATGCTGTTCCATCTCTCTTTTGATGTTTTTCAGAAAATGCTGCTATGGCATTCCCTGTAGTCCATGTTGCTAGGAGAGGATGAATTCAGGAGCTGTGGGCTTTCCAGAATTTCAGCCAGACCCTGTCAACACCTCTTAAATAACCAGTGGTAAACTGCTTGCCAGGATGATGGAGAACCACCTGCTTCCTATTTCCTTCTCTGGGGCACAAACTCTCACCTCATCACCAGGCTGGCAGATCCTGTGTCCAAACATCATAGGGCTATAAAACCAGTGGTTTTTCTCCCTCTTTTAAAAGGAGGGTTGTTGTTGTTGTTGTTGGTGGTGGTGGTAGAGAGAAATCCCAAGTTCATCATGTAGAATAGAAAGTGATACTCTGTGTGTGTGTGTGTGTGTGTGTGTGTGAGAGAGAGAGAGAGAGAGAGAGAGAGACAGAGAGAGAGAAAGAGAGAGCAAGAGTGAGAGAGTGAGTGTATATAAAATTATAAGGGGTCTTATGTTTTGGAGAAAATTCTCCCGAATGGTAGTGTCAGGGGCAAAGTTTCTCCTACTATGAATGATGTCTGTGTAACAGTGAAAAAAAAAAAAAGAGAAAGAAAGAAAGAAATCACAGGGTGTTAAGTACTGAAAAATACTGCCAGCATCATGGGACTCGGATGCAGATGTGTAATGAGACACCCGAAGGAGAATACTATGAGGGTGTTGCTGAATCAGGATTCCGAACGAAGGGAGCGTCAGCTGGTTCACACGGAGGAGAGCTATGACAAGCTTTCGGCAGTCTGGGGAAGCAGGAGGCAGATGTGAAATGAACAGAGGGCAGCATTTTGAGAGCTGTACCAAGAACTGAGGAAACAGGCGTCTCAGTATGCCTCCAATATTGCGCAAGAAAAGAGCCAGCCTGGAGGAGCATCTAACACAAGCCAAAACAAAACGGAAAGCCTCACACCAAACCAAAAACAAAAAGAGGAAACAGGAAAGAAGCTGCTTCCAGGAAACATAAATGCGGCACAGAGGGTGATTATGGTAGTGTAATTCAGGAAAGGAAGGTGGAACCAGAAGGATTCAGAATCCATGCAGTGGAGGATGAGCGGAGGAGTCAGGAACCAGAGTGGTGCTTGCATAGCCCTGGTCTCTCTCATCCTGGTGGTTTTGTGGTGGCAGAAGTGGGATCAGATGATTTTTTTTTTCCCCCCCACCTGGATCATGCGCTAAACTTGGAAAGATCTTCGTATCCCCACACTGGCCGAAAAACTAGTGTGTCTGTTAGTGGTGCCACCGTGCAAGAGCTGCACCAGGTGGCATTAAGACAGTAGTGAGAACGGAACTGGGACCCACTGGCTAAGCAAGTGGTGGGAGAAGCTGTTCCTTTACTGTCCCAAGGTGATGGTGGTGGAGAGGGATGAGATGGTGAGTCACACTGTGCTGTGTGCCACACTGATTCTTCCATCAGAGCTTCACACACGTATAAGAGGAAAACCGACAGGACACATCTGTAAGGTAGTTAACCGTTCAAAGCAGAACTGCATATATTTTATCACATCTTCTACCATAAGGTAGGCATTATTCTCCCCGTTTCATTGTTAAGGGAACAGACTAAAAAAATATATATATATGTGACTTATGTATAAAGCCACACGACTTAACAGAGACAGGTTGGGATTGGAACTCCAATTTGGGGGCTCCCAAGTTCACCCTGTTTTCCATACCCCCATATCACCTCTCTTCATTCAGCATCATTTCAGAAAACTGCGGCCTTGGGCATTGTAGACAGAACAGGAAGTAAAAAAACCATGTCTCGGTTTCCCTTTCTGGCTTCTCTGTGGTTTCATAGAGAAATAAATACCTTGAAAAGGTTAGGCATTTGATTTTGCGTGAATAAAATGGAAGGGCAGAGAAAGAAACTCCGGTTGTTCTGTGTGTTCATATAAGGATTGAAGTTATTCAGCACTTGGAAAGGAAAAATAAAATGCTTACCTGTGATGTAATCTTTCACATCATGGATTTTGCTTGCAGGGTTATTATTCCTAAACATGTAGAGGTTAAAAGGAGCTGGGTCCTTCCCAATTCTCTTCCAGATTTCTATGTCAGGCGTCGTCCATCGTCCTGCCAAAATATCATAATCTCTTTCCCCAAAGTGGATTAATTTTGTGAGTGGGTCATATAAGCCACCATGAAATCCAATTACCAGCTGAAAGTCAATATTGGAATCAAAATAGATTTCGCCATATGCAGTATACTGAATCTGTTTTAGCATAAGCCCATTGCTACTGAAAACGGCCAAGGGTGTCCCTGTGTTATCTGACGCAATGTAGAATTCATCCCCACTGCTGATTTCCATGGCAAAAAGATGTCCTTGGAGATCATAATAGAGAGAAGTGATTTCTGAGCTGGAATGGTTGTAGACGTGAGTAATCCTAGTGGGATAGGTTAAGTCCGCATAAAAAAACTGCAGGTGCTGTCCCAGACTGGTTTTGCTAGATACACGCCTTCCCAGGCCATCGTAACGATAGATCACGGTCCAGCCGCTGCCTTTGCTGTAAACACGAGTCAGAAGCCCCTTGGAGCTGTACTCGAAGATCTCTGTGCCTCGCTGACGCAGGAACCCATCTTCATCCAGCCGGTACTGAACATCCCCCAGTCGAGTGATTCTGTCTCGCAGGTCATAGCGAAGAGGCGTCAGACGCGCACTGCTGCTCGGGTTCAGCAGATGGAGGTTTCCGTTCAGGTCATAGTTGTAACGCCACATGATCTTTTCATTCAGATAAACCGTCTGGAGCTGCCCATCAACATCGTATTCGTAAGCGTATTTGGTAGTGTTGGCAAAGGGCCCTATTTTAATTTCTCTTTTGGTTACCCGACCCATGTTATCATATTGAATCGTAATCCAGTACATGAGGGATCTGAATATCTCATACTGAATTTCCTTGATGCGGCCGTGGGCGTCAAAGTGCTTTGTGTACGTCATTACGGCCGTGGAGATGATCTGGTTAATGTCGTAATATATAACTCCAAATTTTCCGAACTGCTCAACTTTGCCAGAAATGTCATCAAACTGATAGAGATCAATGGGCAGTGGCGTCTCGTTGATGACACCCTGCATGCTGGTCACTCGAAAGCTGTTGTCATAGCTGTAGTCAAATCTCGCATTTACCATCCCGTCTTCGCTGAAGCGGAAAATCTGCCTGTCAATCAGGGGACCAATCTGCCTGTATCTAATGGTGCAAATAAAACCATCACTCTGGAGGTTTACGGTTTTCAGGACGCCCGCTGTTTCATCGTAGGTAAAGCTGACTCTCGTGCTATCATATAAAATTTCCGAGAGCCTGGTCTGCCTTCTGTACTTGAACAAGACCCTCCGACTCGTACCCAGGAAGGCCGTTTGCAGAAGGAGCCCTTCCTCATTGTAGTCCGTGATGACGGAGGCGTTGCTTTCTGGGGGGTTGTATATGTTGCGGTAGTAGCCAATGGACCGGATGGTCTGCATGGTGTGGCGAGCCACGCTCGGCATGGTGATGGCCGACAGCCGGTCCCACATGTCATATTCGAAGATGTACTGCCTCTGGCTGTGGAGCAGGAGAACCATGGACTGCAAAGACAGAACATACTGTTATTCAATATTTTCGTGAGCAGGGGAAGCAAGAGCAGAGATTCGGTGACCACATATACACAAACATTCCGCTGGAGAAAATGATTTTCATTTTAATTGAGTTATCCTTGACCTTACATGTTGTTAACGATTCCCTGCCTAATTTGCTTGGACGCTTAATTGTGAGGGGTTCTGCAATTAGTGGCTCAAGATTCATAATGTGCCACTTGTCACAATTGTACCATTCTTCTTCCAGGCACTCACAGCCAGGCAGCAGATTGTCGATGGATTTGGATAAGTCATAATACAGGCACGCGCGAAGCTGCTTTAAAGACAATATTTCAAGGAGAAAACAGCATATGGGAAATGCGATCCTCTCCATAATTAGCAATTATTTAGTGAGGTGGCTTTTCCCCCTCATCTGATTGAAGAGCCACTCAAATCATGTTTTCATTTCCAGTGCATCTGGGGGAGGAGCGAAGCATTCAAAATATTACTTTATGAAGAAGAGACATAAAATGAGCCCACACTGGAGAATGTGTGTGGAAAGCATCGATGTCGACAAACACTGCTAACTCGCACGATGGGAGCCGTAACACGGACCCAGATACGGTTTTTGTTTGTTTGTTGGTTTGCAAATGCTTACCTGTCACCTGGAATGACAATAAAACCTGCATTTTGAAATTTCCTTTTGTAAGTAATCGAATCTGATTTGAATCCCAGGTGCTGTAAGAACGGTTTCTGGGCTGCATTCGACTTGGGAGCTAAGTTAGGGAGTGAATAGACCTATAGATTAAAAGGAGCTCTGCTCGTCCGCAGAAAGACAAAAGGCAGTCATTTATTAGGCCAGCCTGAGAGAAGCTCAACCCTCAGGCTCAACAGTAAACAGCAAAGCAGAGCATGGGCGATTGTCTCCTTTGGGGAGGTCTCCTCCACACCCCGCGAGGCCAAATGGAATGACCGCAGATCTAGGAGCAGGTGTGTGTTAGGAGCCCTCCCGGGACTCAGGCTTTGCTCTTGCCAGAGAAACACATAATCCCTCGTCCAAGGCTCGCTCCCTCTCTCTTTACTGTCCACCATCTTTGAAAGCACTTTGGGCGACAGGCTTCTGCTGAGTGCCCTCTGCGGGAGCACCTAGGGGCAGTCTTTGTCCGCAGGCTGTCAGGTGGATGCCTCGGACGGTTCCCGACAGTTGGCATTGCGCTAAGGAAGGCTTGGATTCTTGCTAAATTCGTAGGAAGTAGTACCTAGCTGTGTAGTCATTTAAAATCCCATCTGATGGGAGTTAATAAAATATTACTTGTCTTGCTCTGAGTAAGTTTTGGCCTAGCGTGCCTGTCCTAGCAAGGAAATGGAAATGGTCTGGGTGGATCTTAGGGATCTGGGAGATGATGAAAGCACTTGTTGGCTTCTCCGATCCCCACTGAGAATGAGAGTGTGACTGATCTCAGTTACCGCTGGTGTCACTTCACGACAGTGGCTCTTATCAATGACCTGCTCCTTGTCTCCTTTGAAACATTTTTCGGCGACATTTATGATCACTACTATCAATTTTAAGGGTCTGGGTGTTTCTGTTATGCTTCTCTGTAATGTACTTAATTTAAATTGGGAAAAGCGCTCCAGGATATGAAATGGGGATCCATTCCCAGTTTCTTCAGGAGAAAGCTGTCTTGGGGTTTGTTAGGCCGGAGGGTGACGTGTTTCCCAGGCACGAGGACCGGTTCCCAGGGAAGTGTGTGTATAGTGGGGTTTCCTCTGTGGTCTCTCAACAAATCACGGGTCGAGTAGCTAATGAGTGTGATGAATAGCAGGGAGGGAAACTTGTCATCTAATGGGCACGGTCCATTGTCTCAAGGGTGAGTCTCTTCGAAGGAGAGCAGATAAGCAGGTCTGTGAGACAACAGACTAACTGGCAAGTAGGGTCCTGGCTGGAAGGACTCCGAAGCTGGGAGGCGGCCAGTGGTGACCTCTGAACCTGACACTGGTTCTCTGGAAGGGTGGCCTGCGTCTCTCGGCTGTCTAGAAGCAGACGGGATGGCTCCCGTGCGGCGGGGTTAAGGTTTAGACTGAGGAGTGGTGTAGAGCACCTCTAAGTGAACAGGACCACGTAAGGGGAGCACAACAATGGCACGGACGTGAGTCTCGGATTCGACAGGTCACTGTGTGCAATGCGCGTAAGGCTGGAGGCGGTCACCATGAAGCGTCGAGGTCACCATGAAGCGTCGAGTTTCTAACTTAGGCTGCTGCATGCTCGGGGGCGTGATAGGTATTGAAACGCAAAATGGGACCATTTCCCAGCCCTAAGGTTTGTCTCAAAGGCAAATGAAACCCTCCGTGAACGCGCTCTCTGGTGGATTATGTTTTTTAAGAAGGGAATTGCAGGGAGGTGGCCGGTTCCCTGTTCTTTTTCTTTCGCTTTCATCCCTCTGGACCACAGTCACTGGCCCCACACCTCTCAGACTGCGACTCGGCATCTGGCACGTGGAGAACCTTAAATCATTTTTGGTGTTGTGCCTAGAGCTGAAGAATGGACGAAAGTCTTAAGATAGGATGCTTACGCCCTGGATATGCAGAAGAAATGAGAGACGCCACAGAGCACCTGAAACGTGGCTTTCTAAAAAAAAATAGCCTCTTTTGGTTAATAATGCATAAATAGGATCTACGTGCTTTTTATGGCTATGTTGATGCTCTGCCAGCAACAACACAAAAGTGACAGCTTCGACTGTGCTAACGTAAGGCTCTTTCCTAAATGAAAGAGCTAGCACGGAGATTATTTACAAATGACTTCCACGCTCAAGGTCTCATTTGTGGATGTTGTCGATGTACAAACTTGGCAGGTGGACAGTGTGATTGCTTGTTTGTTTGCGGCATAAATCACTTAAAAGGGTCTCAGGTAGTAGAACTTAACTAAGGAAAAACTACTTTGCTAATGCAGAAATTCATCACTGCGGTACCAGTGTGACTTACATGTTGATGCTTAGAATAACAAATGGAGCTCAGTCACATGCCACCGTTTTTCTCCCCCGCAGAGCCCTGGGTGATCGCTGAGAACTACTAATCATCGCTTCCCTCTTGACTCTCACGGCACAGGCGTACCTTTTCTAAGTAGGTGTAACTCCACGTTTTGCCGTCAGCGAAGACCCGAGACACGATCCTCCCCTGGCCGTCATAATCCACTTTCTCGCTAGTGGTTCCCCGCTGGACGCTGGCAATTTGACCAGTGGATGAGTAGGTGACGTTGACGGCCATCAGCTTGCTGCTGGGCAACCACAGAGTTGGGTGTCCTGACGTGTCGTAGGCAATCCTCAGCAGGAATTTACGGTGGTCATCATAGATCTTTTCTGTCTTTGTTGTTCGATCAAAGTCAACGGAAAGGAGGTTTCTGCCATTAACCTGTTACAACACAAACAGCACGATCACATACATCATGCTATTCCAACGCTAGTCCCTTATTACTCTTCAGAGTCCCCCACTATTGTTTAAACACCATTTATGATGATGGATTCTCTTTTGTCAGTAAATTAATTTAGCAACTTCTTGGGTACAAGTGCAAGGCAGTAGATTAACAGCTCTTTTAAAAGGTTTCATTAAGCAGAAAGACAGCCTGGCGTTTGTTCAAAACCTTTTCAATTAAATGTTGTAAACTTAAAGTACAACCGATAAGGAAAAATACCAAAACGTATTTGCTTTAACGTTTGCCCAGAAGATATGAAGCTGGTAAATCACTGTAAATTCCTCAAGGCCCCTCCCTCCATAAGACCCTGGAAAATAATTGCTTAGTAGAATAATCACGGCTACATTAAATAAAAGTGGTAAATGTGACTCCGGCCCTTTGAGGAACAGGTTAAGTAGAAGTTGGAACCCCCATTACTGTAAATTATTAATGAGTTTCAATAGCAGGAGGTTACAAACATGATCATTGCTTTTGGCCCAGTGCTGAAATGTCACAAGTTTTTAGAATGCCTTTCCCTTTGATAACATCTGGTTAACTGGCAGGGACTTCAGATGCTCTGTTCCTGCATCTACACGGTCTGAGTCTTGTGGTAAGTTTACAAATCTAGCACCATGTTGTTGTAATAGGGTCTCTCTGTGGCTCTGTGCAATGTCTAGAATCTTTGACTACATTTGGCTATTACTGTCTGTGATCCAAGGCACGTACAATCCAGCATTCGTTCCGGCAATGGAAATGTGGCCTCGGTTAAACTCTACTTTAACGGGGCCCCCCGGGTGGCTCAGTCGGTTAAGCGTCCGACTTCGGCTCAGGCCATGATCTCATAGTTCCACGAGTTCGAGCCCCACGTCTGGCAGGACAGAGCCTAGAGCCTGCTTCGGATTCTGTGTCTCCCTCTCTCTGTGCCTCCCCTGCTTGCACTCTGTCTCTCTCTCTCAAAAATAAACATTAAAAAAAAATTTAAACTCTACTTGAAAAATGGATTTTCTACAGCAAGATAGAAGCTTTGGGGGGGGGGTGATAGCTTGTACCTACCAGAATGTGGATTGACTACTGGATTGTTAAAAATTAAATGGGAAAAGCTTACCCTTACACGAACATGTCTTAGCTAGAACTTTCAAAACGGACAGCTGCCACTGATCGGTTACGCACACATAGGCACGCACGCCACATCCACACTTACATATATGTGAACATATATGTGTATGTGAACATGTAATACACATGTATATTATGTAAAATCTGGGATAAAACTAATTTGTGCAGTCCATCATTGACATTCAAGCCCCATGAAAAAGTACTCTTTAGGCTTAAAATTTTCCAGTCAGTGGTCCAAGGGGAGTATTGCAAAGTCCATGGAAAGGTACAGAGAAGTAAAGATATAAACCACTCAGAAGTTCATGCTTAACAGGTGAAGTGATGCTGGGGGCACAAAAGCACCCAGACAGGTGACTCGCGGACACTGAGAAAGGGTAGAACCCCGGACGGAAATCAGGACGTCTTCATTTTCCAGTTCAATCCTTTCAGATCCAGCTGCGGTGGGGGAAATAGCCCGCTCTGCCATAGGTGTGTCAGGTGTGTGTGGGGTGGGGAGCTGGGGAGAGGAACCCAGGAGTCTAGAGGCTTGATCTCCATACCTGACAGGGTCTACAGGCAGCGTGACTCTGGGCTTTCGCCTCCCCGAAGCTGTTTGTCGATCTGTGAAGCGCGTGCATGAGAGGCTTTAGGCTTCTGTCAATGACCCTGATTGGATTCTGACTGGCCAGCCAGCGAAAGGCTTTCTGGGCTTTCCCACGTGGACACGTCTGCATGTTAGTCCCTGCCTCACGTGAATTTTGTGAAACCTCACGAGCTTGGCTTTGCAGACTGCTTTGCGGACCTCGGAGAGAAGCTGCTAGCTAACATTCACAAATATGTATTTTAAAGCCTGTAGGAGGATTTGATTTGCTATCAAACTGACTCAATACTGAACTGGCAGAATCCAGCCTTCAGCTTCTATTTGCACAAAATTATCGATGCCTTAGGAAGAGGGTTTGCACGATTTGAACGGTTTCCTATGGTTCTTGTGTTTCTCCGATTGTGATTTAAAAGGGAAAAGACCAAACAAAACAAAAAACAATGCTGAATGTTTAGATTTTCCCTCTTTTCTCCTTCCTTGGGTTATTCCAGGCTGCCAACAGCCATGTGAGCCTCACTGTGTAGTTCCCACGGACTGTGCTGCCCACAGGATTGCCTCATCTGTTTGTATTTTACTTCGTATTCATTTTAATTTGTATTTCAATTCTTTATTGCCTGCCTCAACCACCCTTTATCTCTGCAGCGTCGTCGCCTCTGGTTAGAGTGGGAGCAATCTGGACGGCAGGCCTGCTAAGAGGGCCTGGGCACTAAATGGAGACGGGCAGGGAGAGGCCCGGAGCCCGCCTTTTCACCGCCTGCACCCCTTCTATGGCACTTGACTCGTTTCTCTTGTTTGTGGACAGGGCTACGCAGTGCCAGAGCACCCAGGTGACGGGCGAGTGGGTGTCATTACAGTAGCCATTGTGTGTGTCACCATACCGAACATGTCACCATACGGAAACATCTAGAAGCACTGTGAGACTGAACATCTGGGTAAAAGTTTACATTTTCCTTTCTGTCCAGATGACCACTGTATATGCAATGCCTTTCTTGCGTCCTCTAGCTGAAGCAGTGGGGGAAAAATTAGAATGGGTTGTGTTTTCCCCACCATTCCCAGCACAGGGCAAGGTTTTAACCACCCTTACTGTTTCCAGGCACAAGTCGTTGTTATTCAATATGTAAAATTTCAAAAGATACTAACAGATCTTTTGTCTTCTCTGTTCTTTGCATACACGCCCAGACTTTCTCCTTCCAGTATTATAAACAAAGGGCAGAAGTCAAGGGACACTTCCGTTCTAGGACACGGTCCTACTTTAACTATACCTTTTTGAAATTATGGCAACTTTCCAACCTTTTTTTTTTTTTTGGACAATCATAAAGGACCAGCACTGTTCCACGCCCCAGTGGCCTTCTAATAGTTTTAATATAAAAAATATCAATTTAAATTGAATAGTTCATCTAAGATGAAAACCCTTAGATCAGATCATTACCATCCCTCCAGCTACATAAAGATGAATCCAAATGTCGTGTTTGGATAAGAGATCACCACGAAGTCCTTTGTGCTCCATAGCATTTCTTTCAAGTAAGCACGGAAAATTCCTCATTTTCGAAGATCATGTCCAGCACGACTATAATGAATCACAGCGTCCCTTTGATATTGGGAAGGGGGGTAGTTATCATCTTCCCCGTAGAACGCTTGGAAAACCAAGGCGTAGAGACGTTACACAGTCTTTATGTTTACAGACACAAAGCACAATCAGATTATGTTCACGTATCTGGAAGGTTATGGAGGGAAGCGAGGGAGGGCTGGCTCATTACCCAGGATACTTGGTGACAACATCACGGCTCCCTTGTGTCGCTGCTGGAACATCAACTGGCTGCAGATCATCTTGTGTCTGCACGTCAGCCAGTGCTAACCGCACTGCACAATCCCATCGAAGGCTGTGCCCCTGGGCTCCAAGTGAGAAACAGCATAGCACGCTAACGTGACGCGCAGAGGAAGACCGAAGCATGCTATCGTATTTACGTGTGCCTTTAAACACCCTCTCGCCTTTCAAATTTTGAGGATTTCCTTCTGAAACGATTCACTAATTCTTCTCCTTTAAAGCATCTGAATTCTGGGCAAGTTTAGAAGATGGGTTTTCTTTTCAGAATGCCATAGCAGGTTTTTTGGTTTTTTTATAACTGATTAAAGGCTGGTTCCAGTGTCCAGCAACATGGTAAGAGAGAGACAAGCAATTTTTATGCCTGTGTCTTTTTTATTTTTAACTTGGCCACAAACAAAGCAAGCCATGGAAATGTCTAATCTTTATTTTGCAATGCTTTTTCACATCCCTCGGTTTCATTTGCTTGTTATTTCCTACGGTATTTCCCTTTCGCCTGAATGCATGTTTCATAGAACATGCTTTAAATGTTGCTGGTTTCTTATTTTCCTTTTCTACTCCTTGCTTAATAAAAAAAACTTTTTTAACTACAATATCTGGTGTTATATCTATTATATCTATGTAATCTACTTAGAGTTAGGTTTGTTTATAGCAGTCAAACATTTGCAAGGATGTACTATTCATGTAGCTTCTCTCTTAGATCTGGATGCAGAGAAATAATCTGTATTATAAGGCTGGCTTCTCCTCATTCATTCATCAAATAAATATCTGAGCGCCCACTCTGTGTCAGGCACTTGGTTGAATGCAGGCATATACCTTAAGAAATGAAAGGAAGTTTCTGGTAGGAAATAACGGAAGATAAGAGAGGAGATGTTCTCGGGCCGACTCCACATCCAGTCCTTACACCAGATTTTCAGATCATCACTTTCTCCCCAGAATTTCCCCCTCAGAACCACAGAGGAATGGCATTAGCAGTCAGAGCTGGCACATCCAATCTTATCTTGAAAGTAAGAAACCCTCCCTTGTGATCTCGGCATTGTCTCTAGGAGAGCAATCACACATATCAGCTGGAAATCTCCTTGCAGTGTGACTGAACAGGCCACTCTGAATAGCATATTCTCTGAAATATCTTGCCAAGGCACTGTGGTTCCGCTGTTTAGAAGAAACCAACACCCATGCCTGCGTGCACTCTCTTTTCTTCCCCCGGAGAAAGTATTTGCTTCATTTTGAATCAGGCAGAGAACCAGAGATGTAAGACAGGATTTCCTCCACTCTTCCTAAATTTCTTTTCATGCCTAGAAGAGCCATGTTACAAAGAAACAGAGGATACACTTAGACATAGCTCGTCTCCAAGAAGAGAAGGCAACATGTTACGTGGTCAGTTCCTGGGCAAAGTGTTTCTCACACTCTTCCTTCTTTTGTTCTGTTTTCCTAACCAGGGTGCGAAATGGCTCTTTCTTACTCACCCGCCGTGGGGGTATAAATGCCCAATGTCTGCATATGTGGTAGAGGTTCTCCAGGTTAGGGGTAGGGGATATATAATCCTGCCTTTTATTTAGTTGTAAAGTATTTTCTCACATTATCTCATTTGATTCTGTAACAACTGTGTGAAATGGAGGCAGGGCAGGGTAAATGGTATTTATCCCTTATCTGTATCCAGGGTATATAATACTGTATGCATGGTCTGTGCTATAAGGTCAATATCTATAACATATATAATGTCTGTTATAACGTCACAATGCTACAATATTGTCTGGATAATGTTAACTTACTTATATCCTGACACGGATATCATGGTATACACGAGGCAAATGAAGTCTGAGAGATGTTACGATTTCCCCATAAGGCTCGACATTAACAAAAAAGTGGAGCCTGACCTAGAACGCACGTTTTTTGAATTCTAGTCGGCGCTCTGTCATCTCTGGTATGCGGAATGGAGAGCAATCAATGGGAGCAGCATGTTTGTATCTTTTGGTGAAGGAGGTCCTGTGTCTGAGAACAGGTGGGACTGTGTGTGTGTGTGTGTGTGTACAGGTGTGCATGTGTCCAGGGACATCATGCCCATTATAGGGATACAGCTGGATAAGATAAGGCCTGTGAAGTCGCTTCCAGGCTGCAATGGCCCAAGGCAGCAGGGGGCCTGGGAAGAAGTGGAGGGGGGCACAGCACACAGGGGTGCAAGCTGCTACTGATTCCTCAGTTCAGTGGAAGAAAAGGCGGGAGCTACCGTGTCCTTGGGTCACAGACCGACCCTGCGGACGTGATCAAAGCAAGCCTGGAGCTGGTTTTCTTGCCTGTCACTTTCCCTTCCACTCTAACCTTGCTTTTCCCTTCTAGTGTTCTCTCCCTTTTCCTCCTCACCTCTCCCACTGAGCAAGCCTCTCTCTGGCCTCCCCTAGCTCCCGCCTGCCAGAGCCGCTGAACCGGGGGGGCTCGGAGCTGGGGCATCCTGGCTCCCACAGCCTGGATGTGGGTCAGGTGGGAGCACACAGCACTGGCTCCAGGAGACCACGGATTGAGCGTCCCCAACACCTGCCTTGAAACTGAAGTGGAATCAGAACATAACCTGTAAGCTGGATACAGTCTGCGTTTGATCTACTGATTCTTTCCTACTTCATTTCTATGTCTTGCAAAGAGCCAGAGACAGCATGCATTAGCTGTTTCTTACTCGGAAGGACTGTCAAGGTATATAATGCCGGCCTGTTATAATAATAATTTAGCCATTTTTGGTGCAGGAAAAAAAAGGACATTATTGGTTATGCTTCATGTTGTGTTCTCTCTCCTTGATTTTTTTTAAGTACTTTTTTTTTTTTTAATGGCAAGGGGAAGTAATTTTAGGAATAGTTATCTACATTTATCTGATCAACTAAAATCTGTTTGCTAATAGAAAGGATGAATCAGGTTCAGTTTATAGTGGTCTGAAGGAGGTTTCTTGTAACCTGTGTTTTAGTACCTAATCTGTGTTGTCTCTAGCAAATAGCTGACATAAATCACAGCTTGCTTTCTAGTTATATTTGGCCCATGATGTGAGAGGGAGGGAAAAAAACAAAACAAAACAAAACAAAACAAAAAAACAACACCCAACAAGGCAATGCAGAGAACATTCTGCACAGATCAATTACACTAGCATAATCAGAAGTATCGTTGCATTTCTCATAAAAACAATACAAATCAATGTCAAGTCAGGTTCTGTCATTGATATTCTCCCATGCATCCCAACTACACTTTAAAAATGCTGAGGATGCAAAGAAAGGATTCACCTTTCAATGGCCAGTCCATTTCTTTCTTTCTTTTTAATTTTTTTTAATGTTTATTTATTTTTCAGAGACAGAGAGACAGAGTGTGAGCAGGAGAGGGGCAGAGAGAGGGGAGACACAGCATCCCGGCAGGTTCAGACCAGCCGTCAGCACAGAGTCTGAAGGGGGCTCATTCATGAACTGGTGAGATCATGAATTTTGAGCTCTAAATCACGGAATCGGACCTGAACTGACTGAAGCCTCCCCGAGCAGCCTCAGGAAGAATCTATTTTAATCATGGCTATCTCGAGAAAAAAAGCTTTTCTCCAAGAGCTGGCTTTTATCGACACGATCTAATGGCGCGGGCGGTGACAGACCTGGTGCCTCAGGGGAGGGCCCTGCGCCCGAGGAGCAGGCCTGGACGCGTGGGGAGGGTGCTGACCGCTGTAGCACCCTGGGGGTCCGACCCCCGTCACCGTCAACCGCGACACCGCACACCAAGCTTTCGAATTCAAGAGCTGACTCTCCTTGCTTGTCTTTTTTTCGAACCTCCACTCCCACCGCCAATTTTGCCCAGCTTTCTCGTGACACTATGTTTCTCTTGGTCATGTTGGGGATCGTCGCCCGTGCGGGAGCTATGGGACTCCATGCTGCAGTAATCTGAATCCGAGGCCATACGCTGTCGCGAGATGATTAGAAGGAGCCGTCGATCTCATCTGAGCATCGCGAATCTGATCTAAAAAGAACAAAGCGAGAAACATGAAACTGAGTCTGGACTCAACACTTGGTTGGCTGGTGGTCAGCAGGGTTCATTCACAATCGTGGAGCAACCTCGCGTTTGAAATAAAGATACTCCATGACCTTTGAGCTATCGGGAACATTTCTTGCTGATTTCGGCATTTCTGCTGTAACAGAGACCGCTGCATACAAAGGCAGAAAATTTATTTATTTATTTATTTATTTATTAAAAAAAAAAAAATTTTTTTTTTTTTTAACATTTATTTATTTTAAGGACAGAGAGAGGCACAAAGCATGAGCGGGGGAGGGTCAGAGAGAGGGGATCACAAGAATCTGAAGCAGGCTCCAGCTCTGAAGTTGTCAGCACAGAGCCCTAGAACGTGAGTCGAACTCGCAACCAAGAGATCATGACCTGAGCCAGCAATAGCTTAACCGACTGAGCCACCCAGGCGCCCCTAAAGGCAGAATTTAAAGTCCTTCGCCACTTTAGATTCCTTTTTCTCATTTGCCTGACAAAAGAAGTGAGGGCTGAGTCTCCACAGATGTGCAGTGGACCTTCTGGAAAGAGCCACCTCTGTGTTCTTTTAGCCAGGGTGTGACTGCCAGGCTCTCAGAAGACTCCCCTCCCCTAAACCCATCTATCCTGTACTAAAGATCTTTCAAAGAGATCTCACGTTCTACACCTTGTATGTAAAAAAAAACGAGGTGATGTTCCCCCAAAACAGACTTTTAAAAAAGGGGGCCATCTTATATTTTGTACAAAAATGCCTCTTATATTATCACCTTCTGCCTCGATTTAAACTTTTTGAATAATATAGAATCATTGGGGGAAGAAAGGAATTCGAGCAGTATTAATTTTAGACGACGGCAGAGCTTACTTGAGAGGACTGGTAGAAATAACGAGTCAAAGAAGTTTAACTCAGATTTAGTAATTAGGTTTAGGGCTACGACCTCACAATTGCAAGCGTCATCGCAAACAGGCTTTTCCAAGATTATGTCAAAAAGGAATATGGCAGGCGGTCCCATCATGAATATACTGGATACGTATGTCTATGGACTGAATGAAAAAAAAATAATAAAGTCCAGATAATACATAAGTGGGCGCTGAAAATTCGGTATCAAATGTCCAGTGATCCCATCATATGTGGACTGAAAGGCCACAAGGTGTGCAGATTCAGAAGGGGTTCTGTCTCAAGCGGCTGTACTTACTTGGCCGTGAAGAGGACGCCCTCCCGAAGACTGCAGAAGGTCACGGAGAAAGTGACTCGAGACGGGTCTGATGATGCCCGTGAAAGGTTGGAATGAAGGTGGGTTTGGAAGTGGGAGTAGACACTGGCTGATCTAACATATGTATGTTTCACGAAATAAACACTACCTGTAGACGATGGACGATTTCAGCTTACTTCTAGAGGTTTTTGTTTTCACCTTCCCTTTTCTATCTCATCTTAGCAAATGGGGTCGCCGCGTTCTCCGGGGGTGCTAGTGGCATTTAAGATTATCAGCTTAAACTTATGCTTTCGTGCTTACCTTGAACCATGGTGTAGAAGGAGTCGATTGAAGACAGATTTGAGGTGATGCTGACATCTTCTTCGCGGCTGGATGACTCAATGTCCACCGTGATGGCCTTGTCCATGTCTCCATGGAGGTTTGTGACCACTCCCGTTGGAAAGGTAACATTGGTCAGGCGACCTTCGCTGTCATAGCTAAATAAAAGAGGCATCAACTCGGTATTAAACTAGCAAACTGCAGGTTCTTCTTACTTGTAAATAGAGGGTGCAGCAGTTTCAGCCGCACAAATTTGGAAGCATATTTGTCTTTCTGCATGAGCTGTGCAGAGTGAGGACTTCAAACGTGCTTTGAAGTAGTCAAAAGCCTGTTTAACACAGAAAAACCTCGCCGGTGAGAGCAAGAGTAAACAGAATAACTCTCCACCTCAGCATATTATTCTTTGAAGTGTGACCAAAATCCTCCTGCACGTCTAATTTGCTGTTTCAAAGGGAATGTGTTTACTGATATTAAATGCCTTAGTATTCTCCATATTTTCTACAACATAGATTTAATTCGCCGTTACATCAGGTTTTAAAGTTTTACTAATTTATGCCCCTACAGCAGAGCAATATGAACGTATAAAACTTTGTGCAACAGTAATCATACATGTATGTATGTGCCTATGTAGAAATATTCTTTTCGTATCTTGTGACGCCTTCAACAAACTAAAAAAATAAAGCCTTTTAAAAAAACTTTCCTATTCCTCAGTGTTGACACTCTTTATAATGGTAAGTTTTGGGCAGGGGCAGGGCGCCTGGGTGGCTCAGTCGGTTAGGCAACCGACTTTGGCTCAGGTCATAATCTCGAGGTCCGTGAGTTCGAGCCCTGCATTGGGCTCTGTGCTGACAGCTCAGAGCCTGGAGCCTGCTTCAGATTCTGTGTCTCCCTCTCACTCTGCCTCTCCCCTGCTCATGCTCTGTGTCTCTCTCAAAAAATAAATAAACACTAAAAAAAAAATATAATGGTAAGTTTCAGACTTAAGTGTTGGTAGGAGTGGTGATAATCTATCTCATCTGTACTGACACTGTAGCAAGGGGTGAGTTCTCAAATGATGACTTATTATGTCTACTGAACTGAGATGTAATATTTCCTGACATTCAATGATTATTTGCTTTTTTATTACATACTTTTTTAGCATGTAAGTAGAAGAGGAACTTATAACTAAAATGTTAGGACGTATTTTATTTTTATTATTATTTTTTAAGTAGGCTTCATGCCCAGTGCAGAGTCTAACACGGAGTTCGAATTCATAACCCTGGGATCAAGACCTGAGCTGAGGTCAAGAGTTGGATGCTTCCCCGACTGAACCACCCAGGTGCCCCAGGATATATTATTAAAACGCTGTCCTATAATCATAAATATGCATCGTAGATACAACATTTCACCAAAGAATTGATTTTGCGGTGACTTTACACTTTGTGGCAGCACCAGAGAAAATTTAAAAAATGACAATGTGGTTTGAAGAAAGAGAAAAAATAGCAAATTCCAGATGGAAAACGAGGAACTTCCGTGGGATAACAACACACGTAAGCCTGGATTTCAGATGGGTGCTAAGGCTGCTTTGTTGAGAAAAGCTCTAAGCGGCAATGGAGACCTGCACCATATCCCAGTTACAATGAGCCCAGATGCAGAACAGTAGAGAGAGAATCTTCTTAGCAGAAGACAGAAGTTCCCCGGGGGAGGAGAGGATCCCGATAACCGGTGTGAATATGGGCAACAGGGAATAAGGGGTAGAAGAACATATTTAAATGATACTTTGGAATAAAAGGATAGGGGGTTTTAGAGGGTAAAACAGTGGCTTTGAAAACTGTGGTTGGCATCTGAGAAGATTCTAGGTAACAGAAGTAGAGAAGATGGGGGGCAAGGGCAATGCCACGGTAGAGACAGAAAGGAAAGAAGGGATGGGAGAGAGACGATGAGGTGATTCCATTCATCTAGTGGGGACAGCATCAGTCTGGCGGAGGGGATGTCTGACCTGATCTGACAATTTGCCATGCTACTTAGCCAGCGGCATGCATGGGCACTCAGGAGAGACAAGCAAGCGCCCGAGAAGCAAAGAGAAAGAAAATGTGCCGTTAAGCGCGGTCATTGTTTGGACCCATAAAAGGCAGAGCTGAAATCAACAAAAAGCAGACCCCTTCCCCTCCCCACCATCCGAAATGCCCCTGGCAGATGAAGACGTCAATGAAAGAAATCCAACGTGGCTTATGGCTGTCGTTGCTTTTTAAAAGAAATGATTGCTCTTGAAGAAACGAGCAAGGAAGGCCTGGCTTTACTTATACAGAATTACTGACAAAACCCAGCCCAAGGTCTGATCATAACCTGGACATAATTCTTGCATCTCTTTAGTTCTCACTCGCTATTGTGTTTTTAAGAAATTGACATCCGTCTGAATGCCCCTACATGAGAGAAAATTCAGCACTGCACCCACCTCCCTCCCACTGTACAGATGGAAAAAGGAAAAGACGATGTGCTCAGGTGACTCCCTCAGGCTCTCACGGCATCCAATGACTGGGCCCAAGGGATGCTTCCATGCACCGGGACCCCAGGCCCATGACCCCTCCTGTAAATCACAGAGCCTGCCGGAAAGTGGCAAACTACAGCTTTACACGGATGATGCCACCCGCAGACACTTTGCCGATTCCTTCTCGCTGCTGTCACTCGCCTGCCCTTTCTGCCCGTTTGCCGGTTGATGTTTCCGAGCTCCCTTCAACCTAAGCGGGAACGTCACCTTTCTCCCGCAGAAAGCATTTCCCCAACCTTTGCCTCTGCTCTTTCGCCGGCTTACCACACGCTCCACGTCGTGCTGGGAAGGCATTTTGTGTGCATCACCGTAGACCATGGGGTGCTGCACGTCCAGACTCTAACCTATCAGCCTTTGGCTCTTTGGAAAATGAAGCTACAAGTAAGCTTTGTGGGTAGGAGACATCAAGGTGGGACCTGAGCCCGGCCGTGAAAGAGATGCATGGCTTGGACACGCAGATAAGGCAGCACTGGTGACTGGTGACAGGGAGGGCGGGTGGGGAGGAGGGCGGGGGGCGGGGGGCTGTGAGCAGAAGAGCGTCCAGGGAGGGCCCACTGTTAGCCCCCTGGGTGGGCTTCATCCCGAGTCTGTGGGAGCTGGAGAAGGTACAGGAAAGCGAGGCTTTCATCAGGCCAACGTGATGGCAGGACTGGAAGAGCCCAGGGGCGAAGGTCACAGGGCACATGGGGAGCATTTCCCAGACTTCCCCGATGTTGCCGGGGGAAAAAAATGAGGGACCAGCGTAGATTTCTTGTCTAAAAAACTATTACCTGTTACCTTCTGTCATCTCATAAAGGAAGGCCACTTAAAGAAACCCATGGGACAAAGGACCTACCTTCAGTGTGAGGGTCAGCTGTTTAAAAGGAAGAAGTAAAGTTTTGTGTGGAAACAAAAAATCTCCGCGTCGTTTATTTATTTATTTGTAATTTCAGCGTGGATCAGTGAAAACATTTTCACAGACTGGCACCTATGCCAAGAGAAATGAAAACAAGGTGGGCAAGAGACAGGAAGGTTACCAGGGGACTGTGGATAAGGGAACGAGAGAAAAGAAGTAGTCATGGACTTCCAGGTACTTCCAGAAATGGCAGGTGAGCCCTTCTTTCCCTCCGCAAGAGAGAGGAAACAATGCACCAACAAATGTCCAATTGTCCTCTGAGATGCACTGACCCTACGTACTAAAAGGGGCCTTCCCATCAAATAAATGCCTCCGGACATCATCTCTGCTTCTGTGCAAGTCCGTAGCTCTATTTAATATCGCTTGGCCTTGGTGGTGAACCAGGCCTGCCCAGCTCGTATATCTGAGATGTAGCTTTCTTTTATTAGCCCTTTGAATTTACAATGCAATAGGCTCTAGGGAATTTGAATAGAACATCAACTTCATGCTCTCCGTTCACTCATCTGGTCTTAGCCTCACAGCTTCAAATTCATAACACAGCACATTCTTTTCGCTCCCAATTGACCCTCTTCATAAAGGACTCTCCCTGGAAAAGACAAACTCCCTCAGGCTCTCCGTGACCTTGCGCTCTTTCACTGATGGGATGCCCTTATTTGATGTTTATCTATTTGTTCGTTTTTAATTTTGATTGCATTTTTGCCTAGACTTGCTGTTTTAGCCTTTGTGGTGTATTTTTAAATCTCTTTTTAAGTTTCCTAAGCAGTGGGCTTATGGACAAATGGCCTAGAGAGTCAGAGTCTCAGCCCTTCTCAGCTGAAATGCCGGCTTCGTCCTGATGTGAAATTTCCTCCCCCCCCTTCATGGAGGTTCTCCCTCTTCATTCTTCCTTCCTGATCTCTCCGATCCCTGTGCCCATCCCCACAGCCACCCTAGATGTAAAACCTCATCTTCCTGCCTCCCGCCATATTCACTGACAGCAGATTGAGCTTCTGAAACACCACTAGGAGAATGCTTCCCTGCCTGCTTATCTTCTGGGGTTCCCCAACGGAGGGAAAAATTGCCTGAGTCAGACTGTTACCAATACAATGTCAACAGACTATTGATATTGCAAATTTATTCAAGCGGAAACAATGTGCAGTTCTCAAAAACTTTCTTTCAAACTCAACAACAGGATTATCTGTGATCTTCAGTGTTTTCCCATAAGATGGCCTTTTTAATCAAATGTTTGTTTTAAAGATGATTTTTTTTTTTAGAAAAATCCTGTTAAATTAGAGTAGGGCTTTAGAGAAGCAAGCAAACCAGAGAGGAGAAGCAATGATCACTCCGGAGAAGTGAACGTGATGTGGTCTGTTCTTTACCCCTTAGGCTGATTTTGGGCTGATAAGCCAGCGTGGCAGTGGGTCTGTCTCAAAAAGGAGACAAACTTATGTATTTACTCAGATAATGCTGGCTATTCCCCGCTCTCAAACCATTATTCTCTTCCCCTATAGGAGAGTGAAGCTACTAAATGTATGCTCTGTACTGACTGGTTTCTCCTGCCCAAACTCAGCCTGCTCTGAGAAAGTGAGATAGCAGGAAATGCTGGTTTCGTTATATTTTGGAGACCCCTGGATGGGATAAATGTTCAAGTGGAGTCCTGACTGCCCCACCCCCCCATCTTCCCCGGGCCATCCCAGAATAAGCTTACTGTGAGAGCTTAGTGAGGGCACTAAGTTTCCAGGCTTGCATCACAGTAA